AACTGTCCCTAACCCTCCAGGTACCTACTGCATAGTATAGGGCCATAGGGACTCTGGTACCCTCTATAGAGGGTACCTGGAGGGTCAGGGTGTTGTCAGGGGCTTTTTCACTGGTTTACAGGAAGCACGTCGGTTTTATGACCGTGTTCCGTAAATGTGCGCGTTTCTCGTGGGTTTTGACGGTTTGAGTTTTAGGAGACACGTCGCCCCGGGTCTCTGTCACTGGGGTCCGAAGGACTCGGGCTGCAATTCGGGCAAGTGCAGCTAGAGTCCTCAGCACAGCTGGCGCGCGCTGTGGCTGGTGAGTTTAGGGGCCATGGTTTAGGGCTTATAGGGCTTTGGGCTGAGCGTTTCAGTTTAAAAACCTATACAACCCCAAAAGCCCTGAAACCTCCGCGAACTTACTTGTGAGATCGTTTGAGCGTGGGCTACGTGACAGAAACCCTATTTTGAGCGTGGGATATGTGGCAGAAATCCTACTATTCAAGTCTGGCACTCAGGTTAAAGTCTCAGCTTGGATATTGCCCCCCACTCTCAGCTGTACCAGGTCCTGATTAGTAGCCCTTTTTTATTTTTGGTGGACCGTTACTATATTGGGGGCAGTACCCTTTGTGCTGTTACATGTACTATCTTGAGGTTCCCCAGCTACCTGTAATCTTGCCCTTTTCGCTCCTGATCCGATCCCAGGCGCGCGGAGCACAACAAGCCCTAAACCCCAAACCCATCTAAACCCAAAGAATTATAAACCCTCAACCCTGAAAAAGAAACATCGAAGCCCATTCAAGCCCCAAAACTTACCGTCCGACATGTGCTTCAAGCTTTAATTCCAACAGACTTTCTATGTAAGTCTTAAAGCCCTCTAGGTCACAGAAGCCTCTTAAGTTTTGAGTCCTAGAAATAATACAAATTGCAGCCTATATCTAGGAGCTTTCCAGAAGGTGCGCAGTATAGAAGCCTGAATAGTGAGTGATAGTATTCCCTCATGGTCCTGATGTAGCTATACTTTCACAAAGCCCTCTAAACCCTAAACCCTATTCCAGGGAGACAGGCCCCGGAATCCTAAGCCCTAAACCCCTAAAACTCTAAACCCTACACCCGAGACGCAGCGAGCGCAGACAGCTCATGAGCTCCGGCATCCGGCAGGAGGTCCCTTAAGCTTATAAATCCTGTGGGGTTTGGGGGCATCACAGCCGTTGGGTTTAGGGTTTTTGGACTGCGGGGTTTAGGGTATGGGGCTTTAGGGTTTAGGGCTCGGGGTTTTTAGGGGCTTTTGAGGGTTTGGGGGTTTGGGGCTCAGGGTTTAGTGTGCTTGGTTTAGGTTTTAAGGCTTTAATTAGGCTTTAGGGCTTTAGTGCTTTAGTGTCTTTTAGGGCTTTGCTTGTTTTGGCTGCGGGGCTTGAGGTTCACTCTTTCAATTCGGGTCCGGGTGCGCGGGAATGCGATTCAAGCCCCTCCCACATTACCCTTGTCTGGCTATTTCCCTTAAACCCTAGACCCTAACTGTTTCGTTTTCTTACTGCTGTGGGCTGCTGAAAGGTCTAGCATGTAGGCTATCCATGGCAAAGCTGCAATGGATCTACAACTTCTTCAAAGTCTAAACCCTAAACCCTCATTCCTAAACCCTTCACCCTAGACCTAATTCCTAAACCCTAAGCCCTAATTCCTAAACCCTAATTTCTAAACCCCAAGCCCTAAACCCTGGAAGGAAGGGTGCATTCTGCAGACCTGAAGCCCAAGATCCCCATTTCTTGCATCCAGACCTTCGATGCTTCTGCCAGTTGCAACCTAGACGAGGGCTCCACCAGGGTTTAGGGTCTAGGGTTCTGGGTTTTGGGTTTTCCAGAAAGGGTCCAGCTGCCCAAATAGTATATGCTGTGGCCCCAGAGTACCTAAAAAGGGACTACTTTAGGGCCTGGGTCTTTGGCCCCTTAGGGTGCTAAAGCATGACCAGGATTCCGGACGGTAGGCCTCTGTCAAAGCTACCTGCGGAGGTGCTGGGAATAATATGCGCGCCTCGGGAAGTGTGTTATATCATAGGCAATGATAGGATAACACTATATAAGAACTATAAGGGCAGAAATCGCTACACCTGCCACTATATTATTGTGTTTATTGCCACGTGATTGTTCTTGTTGCTGTTCAATCAGACCTCTATGCTACCCCTTTCTTTAGTCGGGGATCCTCCTGATGCACCTTCAGCCGGCAGCTCAGCGCTTCCAGAAGCCATTTGTTTCCTGTGCGGCTGCGGCCATCGGACCTTTAGGGGCTTACCTTACCTGAGACTTCAATTACCTGCAGCTTTATAGGTTCTACCTACAAAAAAGGAGTAATGGCTGCTACACCGTAGGTAAAGAGAGTTACAGGTAATGTTTGATCATGTTGCTGCAAAGGGCCTTTCTGAAGCCTATACAAGCTGCATGCTTGGGATTCTTGATTTCACTTGTGTCGTAACCTAACCCCGAACCCAAAACTATGTAACGCCGCCGTGTCCGGCTTTGGCGACAGCTCCGGGACTTATGTCGACAGCCGCGAAGGCCTTGTGAACAAGAATCGCTCTTTGTCGCGGCACTATCGGGGCCTGATTACTTTGTAATACTTGGTAACCTGAAACATTTACCCCTTTCAGTTCTCAGGATAAAAAGTTCCCCAAACTACGGTTTGGTAGCTAAGGCCCCTGTGTCCCATATATTGGGCGCGCTGTTCCGGACAGTATACGTTGTCTCCCGTCCTTGTGCACCCATAGTATGATACTGGATTCTGCTATTGCTTCTAAAAGACCCTGCTAGTACCGTAAGTAAAGGAGCTCTGACAGCACCGTTAAGGAACCCGTACAGCCGTAAAGGAACCCCTCAAAGGAACCCCACCTACCTACCGACCGACCGACCGACCGACCGACCGACCGACCTACCTACCTACCTACCTACCTACCTACCTACCTACCTGCCTGCCTGCCTGCCTATACCCACCGACAGGACCGACCTACCTACC